ATACAAAATTAATTAACAACTTTTATTTTTTATTTTTATTTTTTTAAAGAACACAATCAATATATAAATTAATTAACAACTTTTACTTTTATTGATTAAAAAAAATAATACCAAATTAGTAGAATAATTATTATTAAGTAAATAAATATAGTAAATTAATAAAAAAATCAAATTAATAAAATAATTATTATTAAATAAATAAATAGAATAAATATAATAAATTACAGAATAAATAGAGTAAATAGAATAAATATATTAATTAACTAAAATAGAGTAAATAGAATAAATAAAGTAAATAGAATAAATATATTTGTAATTTGAATATTAAAAAAAATTATAAAAAAAAATATGAACCGGAAGACTTTCAAAAAGTCCAAAAAAAATATGAACCGGAAAACGAAAAAAACATGAACCGGAAGACTTAGTCTTCCGGTAAACAAACGAAAAAAATGTGAACCAAAAGTCTTCCGGTAAAAAAAAATTATAACTTTTTATACGAGGGTATTTTGGTCCAAAAAAAATTAATGTAGGGGTATGAGTATAATTGTAGGGGTATGGGGTAAAATTTCCTTTAATTCAACGTATGTTTGGTTCATAAGCGAAGGAAGGGAGGGGAGGGAGAAATTTTAATCAAATATATGTTTGGTTCACAGGGGAAGGAAATGAGTTTTAAAACTAATTTATCTTTTTACCCTTAAAATATCATCAACATTCACCAAAAACCACCCCTACTCTACCCAGTTTCATCCTAACCACATGCGATCTAAGTAAAACGAAGATTAAAACATATAAAACGGAAAGGATGAAAAAAACTTACAAGGTCAAAGAAGAAAGAGGTTGGTCGGCGGCAGACGACGGAATCCAAGACAAGCAGCAATAGAGGAGAGAGAAACGAAAAGTGAAAATGACCGCTTCTTTCCCTTATTTATAGGCAGAGCAGGGGCACGCGCACGAGCATGTGCGGCGTATGGCATCATCATAACCCTAGCATATCCATCATTACACATTAAATGCAGCGCGTGACTCGATGTACACGTGGCACTCCATCCCTTCAAGTCTCATCAACCGATGGGCTCCCCGTCGATCAGACACTCAAAACAACGTTCTAGATTCTCTAGACACGGGCGCCTTCGAGCACTACGAAGCGACCTCATCTCAGTAACAAGTGTCGATCACGCCCACTCTTCCTCGGACTGTGGGTTGCTCTTAAGTCATAAATTCCATGCTCAGGAGCAACGACTTAGGGGCTCCTGTTCCGGACTGGTCTAATGGCTAAGCATGACCCAATCCGCTTCTGCACTCAGAACGACCTAATAGCCTTAGTCCTGCCAGCTAAGGGCAAAGTGAAACTTTCTTTCCTCTGCCCCTATGTCGAGGAAGACTGACCAGCTGACCCTCGGGATTAGCTACCCCTCGTCATATTTCTTCCCGTTGATCCGTTGTCACGCACGGATCAAAAACGAGTATTTTTTGAAAAAGTAGTAAAGAGAAGCGACACTGAGATGTCGTATCACAAGGATTCTTGTATTATTTCAACCAAATAAAGAAAAGGTTTATGAGGGGTTTTAAATTTTGATTTATAAAACAAGAGAAAAAGTGATTAAAATAAGTGATTATCAATTAAAGGTAAAACGGCTAATCCTACTGATTCGGATTCTGACTTATCATCGGATATTATAACACCAACCCCTAAGCGGCTTCAATCATATTTGATTATGATATTAATCAGACAAACGCTTATCAAAATCATACAAATCATGTTCCTGTTACCGAATTAAGCAAACGATTAAAAATATGACGAGTTAACGATTTAAGCAAAACGATAACACGCAATTAAATTTAGAAACATGCATACAATCGAATTTAATCAATTATATTCTATGAACACAATCAAATTAAGCAAACGATTGCAATCAAATTAAGCAAATGATTTTATAGAAAAGAATTGAACATAAATCAAATTAAATTGTATTATAATAACCTCAAAGTGATGAAACCCGTAAGTAGTATGATTTGCCTTGGGAATTAGTTTTCCATGAAAATCATACAAAACAAAAAGTGAAATTCGTGAAAAAGAAGGTAAAGTGACAGTAGTACGGCTGCTAGGTATAAGAAAGTATCAACACTTTTGGTTTTAACCCAACTGGGTCGAAAACATAAAAAACCCGGTCCAAAACTAAATATTTCAAACGGAAGATTTTGGGTCCTGACTTCAACGAATTATCTGGACCTGCTACACTGTGAATCATCCTCTTCCTCAAGCATAAAAGTTGTAGCTCTCTGTCTTAACTTTCCAACGCCTATTAGAACGCGCAAATTTGATTATCGCGGCTCCAATTATGATTCAAACAGTGGACAAATATCAAATAACCGCTAAAGCTGAAAATAAGCTGCGAAAATAAAATAAAGGTGAAAACAAAGTTAAATATAAAAACACATTAAAATAGTAAAAATACTCAAATAAATTGTAGGAATGCCTAAGTATAACAATGGAAGAATGTGTATGAAGATGTGCTGATCACCCTTCACGCACGGTTTCAGCATCCAGAAACAGTCACGAAGCCTGTGCCCGTGACCACGCCTTTGCCCGTGACAACGACTAGTTTTGAGCACCTCTGCTCGTCCCAACGACTAGTCTCTAGCAGTTACCTATTCTTTGAGAGCGAATATTTTGCCCTGAAAATAGGGACCAACGGCCAAGCGATGAGGTCATTATAAAATCTCTTTCACTTGAGAGGGTCAGATATTCTAAATTATTCCAAATCACCCTAAGACATACATTTTTTGTACTTGCATTCTATTCTTCCGATTCTTATTTTATCATCGGAGTGCTTTGTAGGTACACCCCCTCCTCATCCTTGCAACTCAGCATTATCGACAAAGTTTCTGACCCACTTTAAGTTCTGATCAACCGTCAATATATATATATATATATATATATATATATATATATATATATATATATATATATATATATATATATATATATATATATATATATATATTGTTGAACTTTCAACTAGGGAGCATTGAACATAGTGAGACTTTTTTTTAGAGCAACCTTTGTGAGAGACACACCACATACTCACCCAAAACCTTAAGGTGATAGGTGTATGAGTTCTCTCACTTATAAATGCTCAAGTCACCACATTTCTATCCAATACCCTACTCACACTTGTTAATACTTAACACTCTCCCTCAAGTGTGAGTCTATCCCAATGCTCTCCCTTAAGCGGAAACTTTAACTGTGCAACTGCACTCTTGTACCGTCGTTGACATTCTTCAACGAGACACTCAACCCACGACCTATGGGAATACTTTCGATACAAGTAAGTCGTTCCCTTTATTCGAACCAAAGACTCCGATACCACTGTTGGACTTTCAACTAGGGAGCATTGAACATAGTGAGACTTTTTTCTAGAGCAACCTTTGTGAGAGACACACCACATACTCACGCAAAACCTTAAGGTGATAGGTGTATGGATTCTCTTACTTATAAATGTTCAAGTCACCACATTTCTATCCACTACTCTACTCACTTGTTAATACTTAACATATATATATATATATATATATATATATATATATATATATATATATATATATATATATATATATATATATATATATATATATATATATATATATATATATATTAAATTACTTGTAACTGGAGTAATTAATTATAACAAACAAACATACTAATCAAATAACTAATTAACTTATATTATATCACAAGAAACATGACAAATCTATTAGAGACAGGAGGGTGCAATGACACCCCTCAATTTTTAATTTTTTTTCTTAAATATAGGGCTCAATCATATAAAAACTAAAGTGAAATAATGAAGAGAATGGTGAAAAACTGTGATGAAATGCTCTAAATTATAGTGTTGGAAAGCTCATTACAATAAGAAAGTATGTTGTGATTCAAGGGAAAATAAAGAAACAGAAAATCAGAAACAGAGTAAAAAGAGAGAAGATAATGTGAGGCGGCTGATTGAAAAAAAAGAGAAAAGATCATTAGAGTTAGTTTATGATAATGAGTAATGAACCTGTACATTTATTCTAACCCAACATCTTGGACCAATAAACTAACATTATTTAAAATAAAACTCTTTCAATAAAATAAAACATATTCCTTTTTTATTGCTTATTTTTTAATTAAGTCTTGTTTTCTAAAATAAAGTCTTATTTTTCTTATCTTTTAAAATAATGTAAAGTATTTTTCTTTACTAAAAATCGACATGAAGTCGTTATTCTTGTTTTATTATTATTATTATTATTATTATTATTATTATTATTTAAGTTTTTAGCTTTTGTGTTAACTTTAGTCTTTTTCTTTTTTTATTACAAATGAATAAGAAATAATTATTTTTGTCTTCTTGTACAAAAGAAACTAATAAATCTTATCAATAAACCATTCGATTAGTTGAATAGCCATTAACATGAAACTTTCCTTCCATTGAGTAATTGAGATTAATTAGGAAGAGCGCGTCAAGGAAATAGTCACGAGAATATAGAATTTACATTCAAAAGTATATACCATTTGCAGTTTTAATTTTAATACTAAAAAAATATAGTAGCAGTACGTAGATTATACAGTATTCAAATTTTAATTGGTGCAATGGTGATTGAATAATACGCCTGCAGTAGTGTGAAGATCATACGTATATTTAGATGCCACTCTTAACAATACATCAACTACCAATCAGTTTGCGCCATTTCATTGGCAGTTAATAACATATTGTAGTCAACAAATGTGACTCTACAATGACACTCACATCACACCAACTACAATATAGTTAGTTTATCACCACTATTATTATTATTATACTATCATTTTAAAGTGCTAAAATACCGCATGTTCCTAGTTGTAATAAAAAAAATATGATTAATGTTTCAATCTATATAATGCTCTTAATACATCCATATCCTCACTCATATCTTCTTAAAGTTCAAACTCCTTTGAGGGTGACTTAGATTGGGAATCAAACAAGATGTTAGGGAAAAAGATTGTGTCACTTAAGAAACTAGTAAAAAAGGTGAAGGTTGTAGGTAGAATTCACCACGACACTGCTCATAATAAGTTATTGAAGGAATATGAAAAAGAAGAAGAAGAAAAACATCCAATTGCCAAAAAAAGTGGTGTTTTTGCACTATATGTTGGAGAGGAACGACAGAGATACGTTGTTCCAGTTGATTATCTTTGTCATCCTTTATTCAAGATGTTGTTGGAGAAAGCATACAATGAATTTGGGTTTCAACAAAGGAATGGTTTGGTTGTTCCATGTAGTGTTTTAGCTTTTCAAGAAGTGGTTAATGCTATAGAATGTAATAATTGTAAGTTTAGCATGGAAAATGTTTTTGATGAATTGATTTGATTTAAGTGAATGTATGATAGAATATACTGATAATCTTTCATTTTTTAGGGGGTTAGAACATATTTTTAATCTAGCTATAATTTTATCACATATTAATCTTAATTTTAAGGATTGCATATTTGTTTTTTTTCTTAATCTTTAATATTAAAATAGTTGGGAATCGATGTCATCAAGAACAAATTAAAATATGAGAAATATTGAATTTCTTGAACAAACACAGGAAACCCTATTAGATTTTACGAAAGAGAAAGAAAAAGAATTAAGATTGATTAAAACTGTTTTACCATTCACTTACTCAATAAGAGTTCAAAGATTACAAGTGAATAAAAAAAATTAACATTTTTCAACAACCTAAAAGAACTAATCTATTTATAGACTATTAAGCTAACTTAAGTTACAAGCTAACTTAACAGTTGGGCTTACAAGTAAGACTCAATTTAACATGCTAACTTAAACAACAAGCTAACATAATTTTGCAAGCAAGAACAAACTTCAACTACAGCATGCACATCTTCGACTACTGTCGAACCGTGAAGCTAACCTTGTCGAAGTTAGAGTTCGATCCAAATACCACAAAGATCGTTACACAGGAATGATTTCACATCATTTACAATACGAGTACTCGAACTAAATATAAGTAAGTCATTTATATAGAAGCTTATACTAACACATATGTCATTTCAAACTTATAATAAATACATTTTGTCACTTTCATTCACTTTAAACTCAATAGGATAAGATCTTCTATTCAATTATTTGTTGATGATGAACTCTGGTACAACGATCTTTGTAATACATCCAGTGATGGAGGTCTATCTACAAATACTCTTACGATAAAATTAGTCATAGTCGTAAATGTGAGATTTAGGGTTTTAAAATAGCGTGTACATGAGTTTGAGTCCTTCATTAGACTTTATAGTTAGGTTTTAGGGTCTAAAATCTCTTGAACCTTCTTTGGGACAACTGTCATATAAGAAAGATGTTTTGAGACCGTATGGTCTTTCCCATCCAATGGATGGTGGAAGTTTGTTCAACTAGGATCTTATGTGCCTCAAAGTTGTGTCTATTTCCTAATCCATATTGATTTATGAGACTTAAGTGACCTAATTTTATATGGAGTGGGTCTTTCCCCAGACTAGAACAATAGTCCCCCAAGTATAGACCAACGTAACTAAGTTTTAAATTGTTTCTCCTTTCCAGACGCGTGAAGTAACTATAGAAGAAAAAGCAAGGCAAGTTCAGAGGATAAAGAAAAACATGTGGTCATTCTGAGTCTACTTCCAGATTCAAGAAAGCTAGAGGAAACTAAGATGTCATATGCTACAAATGCAAGGAGCCAGATCATTATAAGAATGATTTCCCCGAGCTGAAGAATGACAGGCCCAAGAAGAAAGAATTGTGAGGAAAGAAGAAAGGTACCTGGGATAATTTAGAGTCTTCTGAAGATGATTTTGAATAGGAGCAAGTTAATGTGGCTCTGATGGCATGTACAAAAGCTCATGCTGGAACCAGCCAATTAGAATCAGAATTTGAGTCAGATTCTGAAGAGGTGTTTTCTAAACTTTCTCGTTCTGAACTTGAGTCCAGTTTATCTGAAGTTCTAGAAAAATACCAGAACCTTCTAGACAAATACAAGGATCTGAAGAAGATTCATGTATCTGAATTAGAATCCCTCTGTAAGCTTCAGAAAGATTTCTCAAGGTTAAGTGAAGAAAACCTTACTTTGAAAAATAACTCTATGCCTTCAAGCAAGAGTCAACTCGAGAAAATCATTTCTAAAGCTCCTACAAGTTCTGGTGACATCATACATAAGTATGATTAATCTTTTCAGAAGTTTCTTCCTAGAAGTCTGAATAGAAGCTTAATGACTTCCATGATTTATGGCGTCAGCAAGAACAAAACAAGGGGTATTGGCTATAATTCTGATGAAGAATCTGATTCGCCTAAACCATAGGATAAAGAAAAAACTCACGCCTGTTCTAATCATGCATTCATGTATAGATATCCTGAATAAAAACCCAAAGCTATAAAAAGACTATGGAAAAACTAACCCTAAAGGATCCAGAAAGATGTAGGCACCTAAGGACAAAATAATCTATGTTGCAGATATCCTTAGCAGCGGAGTTAAGACACAAATCATGGTACTTGGACTTTGGATGCTCACGACACATGACGAGAGGAAATTATATGTTCCAAGGTCTGGAACTTAAGCTTGGAGGCTTTGTAGGTTTCAGAGTTTATTAGAAAGGGAGAATCACTGGCTTCAGAACAGTAGGTAACAATAATCTCCCTTCCATTACTAATGTTCTTCTTGTTGAAGGATTAATGCATAACCTCCAGGCCATAAGTCAATTAAGTGACAATGATTATAATATTATTTTCAATCAAAAGTCTTGTAAAACTGCTAGTAAAAAGGATGGCTCAGTTTTTTTCAGTGGAAAGAGGAAGAACACCATCTATAAGACCAGACTCTCTAATTTGAAGAATCAGAATGTCAAATGCCTTCTGTCTGTTAACGAAGAGCAATAAACATGGCATAGACGATTGGGTCATGTTAACATGAGGAGGATTTCTCAGCTTAACAAGCTCAATTTAGTCAGAGGCTTGCCAAATTTGAAGTTTGCTTCACATACTCTTTGTAAAGCATGTTAGAAAGGAAAAATTTCTAAAACATCTTTCAAAGCTAAGAATGTTATTTCTACCTTCAGACCATTATAGCTTCTTCATATTGACCTATTTGGACTAGTGAAAACTGCTTTTGTCAACGGTAAAAAGTGTAAATTAGTCATTGTTGATGACTATAACATATGGACATGGGTGAACTTTCTTAGACACAAGGATGAGTCGCATTCTGTGTTTTATACCTTCTGCTCCCAAGTACAAAATGAGAAAGATCTCAGAATCGTAAAAGTCAAAAGCAATCATGATGGTGAATCCGAAAATAGAAAATTTGAGAAACTCTTTCATGAGAATGGAATTTACCATGATCTCTTCTGCCTTAGAACTCCGCAACATAATGGAGTTGTAGAAAGGAAGAATATGACTTTGCAAGAAATGTCAAGGACCATGATCAACGAGACTAATGTGGCTAAGCACTTATAGGCATAGGCAGTTAACACAACGTGTTACATTTAGAACAAAATCTCTATAAGACCTATTTTGGGTAAGACTCCCTATGAATTGTGGAAGAATAGGAAACCCAACATTTCTTATTTTTATTCGTTTAGATGTGCTTGCTTTATATTGAACATTAAAGAGAATCTGGGCTAGTTTGATTTTAAGGTACAAAAGTGCATCATGTTAGGATACTCTGAACACTCAAAAGGCTACAGAGTGTATACCACTAAGATAAAGATTGTTGAAGAATCAATCCATGTCAGATTCGATGGTAAGTCTGACTTTGAAAAGTCAAAGCTAGTTAAGAAATTTGCAGATAACTTATTCAGGTTCTGAAGAAAAGACTCCATAAGCAAAAGAAGCAGAGGCCAGCGACTTCGAAGCTCCTTAACCAGAAGCCGTTGAAGCTCTTACACCTCTAAGAAGGCACAAACAAGTATCTTTACACTCTACATAATTAATTATGGGAGACAAGATTGAACCTGTCAGAACAAGATCCTCTTTCAAGCCCTCTGAGGAAACTATTATGGGTTAGGTGTTTCTAATAGAGCCTACATCTATCGGCGAAGCTCTTCAAGATTCATAATAGATTCTAGCTATGCAAGAGGAACTCAATCAATTCTTCAGAAATGACGTATGGGATCTCGTTCCAAGATCCAAAGGTACTCATGTTATTGGAACTAAGTGGGTCTTCAGAAGCAAGTTGAATGAACAAGGAGAAGTGGTAAGAAACAAGGCTCGACTAGTTGCACAAGGCTATAGTCAGCAAGAAGGGACTGACTATACATAAACCTTTGCATTAATTGCAAAGTTATAGTCTATTCATCTCTTAATTTCATTTGTTGTAAATCACAATACCATCTTGTATCAGATGGATGTTAAGAGTGCATTTCTAAATGGTTACATTACTAAGGAAGTGTATGTACACCAACCCCCTGACTTTGAAAACTCTAAAAATCCAGATTTTGTTTTCAAGCTTAAGAAGTCAATGTACGATCTGAAACAAGCTCCCAGAGCATGGTATGGGAGACTAAGCAGATATCTTCTTAAAAATGATTTCACTAGAGGGAAAGTTGACACAACTCTTTTCTGTAAATCATTCAAAAATGATATTCTTGTTATATAGATTTACGTTGATGATATTGTTTTTAGTTATGCTAATGCTTTTTTGTGAAAAGAGTTTTCTAAGTCTATGCAGACAGAGTTTGATATGAGTCTAATGGGAGAACTCAAGTTCTTTCTAAGAATTCAAATTAATCAGAGCCCAGAAGAGACGCACATCCATTAGAGCAAGTACACCAAAGAACTTCTGAAGAAGTTTGACATGTAAAAATGCAATATTCCTAAGACTCATATGCATCCTTAAGATGGATGAGGTAAGCGATAAGGTAGATCAGAAGCTATACAAATGTATGATTGGCTATCTTCTGTATCTGACTGCTTCTATACCTGATGTATTATTTAGTGTATGTTTATGCGCTGGCTTCCAATCATATCCTAGAGAATCCCATTTAACTGCTGTTAAAATGATCTTCAGGTATTTGAAAGGTACTATTAACTTTGGATTGTGTTATAGAAAATCCAAAGATTACAAGCTAGCAGGTTACTGTGATGTTGACTATGTTGGAGATAAACTCGAAAGGAAAAGCACTTCTGGAAGCTGTCAATTTTTGGGAGACAATCTAATCTTGTGGTCTAGCAAGAGGAAATCAATAATAACACTGTCAACTGCAGAAGTTGAATATATTGCAGCCTTTGGATGCATCACTCAGATGCTCTAGGTGAAGAGTCAGCCAAAAGACTTCCAGATATATGAGAGTAACATTTCAATCCTTTGTGATAATACTTCTTCTATTTGTTTATGTAAGAATCCTATTTTGTAT